AGGGTGTCCGGGGGGCACCCCCTGCCTTCAGCCGGGCTCTGCTCTGCCCCGACGGGGTTTCCTGACGACGCAGGGTGCTTCTCCCTTCACGGCTAGGCTCTCGTGCTACCCTTGTCTCCCCTACACTGGACGAACTGGGACAACCCAAGAGTTAAAGTAATCCTTGGCAGGCCAAGGTCGGCCAAGAGAGCTTGTAGCTCACAGCCGGAGCATGGGATAGGTCCTGCCACTTCCGGATGTGACCACAGGCCACTTGTCCGGGGTCTGAGGCGAAGGGGTGCTCAGCCCGCACCATTTTGCGTGGTCTTTGGGTGGACCAAGAAGGGATTGTCCCTTGTGAGGATCACAGCCCTGTCCCGTCTGTACACCAACATCCCTCCCTACGGATCTTTCTGCCGGTGTCCGTGGCTCAGGGTTGTTGATGCTCCTTGAGATCTTTGGAGAAAGGAGCCATCAGGGCACGCAGGGACTTCAGACCGGTTTGTTGTGTGCGTTGCTTTCCAGACAGCTCTCGTGAGTCTGGCTCTAAGGAATTTAGCCTCCAAACTCTGCTCGCAGCGATTACACTGAAATGACCTCTGTTTGCATGAAGAGCAGCACTGTCATCCCCAGCACGTGGGCATGGCATGACTAATGTAATGCTGCGTCCTGAGCAAATGACAGAGGCACGCAGGCAGCAGAGAAATGAAAAGTAGGGCTTGGAGGACTTCAGAGGTTTTCTGAGAGGAACTTTCCAAATGGCAAGGCCTGATGTTAAATGCCACCCTTGGGGCCAAGCCAGTTTGCAGGCTCTTGTAAAGCAAGGTCTGTGCGAGTGTGTGTTTGAGACTTTGTAAATGGCATTTAAAATGGACTTTGTTGATATGTGCAGCTGTTAGTTTGATTCCAGAGAGTTTTCTGTGGCCTGTCCTTCAGAAGGATTTCACTGCAAGTTTTGAGTTCTTTGACCTCGTTCTATATTTGTTTTTTTTTGTAGTATCACCTTGGAGGTCTATAACCTTGCGGCCCTACTGACGGGCTGGAAACACGGGCTTCTCTACACTTCTGACTGCGGTGCCTACCCAGTGTAGCCTGGTGGGAGAAGAAAAGCAGCAGACAGGCTACAGATAATTCTTTTGCGCTTCACTGAAAAAACTTGCTTGTCCAAGAAAACAAGATGGATGGGAAGAAGTGGTACCAAGTTACAGATAAGGCAGTTCCAGCAGGGTCCAAGTCTGTTCTCTGAAAAGAAGCTCTAACATCAAAGAGGCTGAAAAGCAAACATCAACCAAAATGGAAGGAGGCAACAGTCCAAATCTGCAACTTCAGCAGCTCCCGTTGGCCACAGCAGCGGTTTCTGTGCAGCCACACATTGACTCCTTTTCTTACAAGGTCAGATTTCTACCCCAGTCTATCCCTAGAAGGCCCTAACTATGCAAGTAAGCTGATAATACTGCTGTGTTTTGGGTGTGTTTTTTCAGAAAGTGCACTGTCTTTGTATTTAGCCATGCCTGGAGGCCCCAGTGTATTATATGCTGTATACAAGCAGTGAGAGAAAGAAAAAGAAGTTTTGAGTCTTGAAGTGCCAGACAAAGTGGAGAAAGAATGTCTGGCAGGTACAGGATCATGTGGGTGTCTAAAGGTGGTTAGGTGCAATAAATTCTGCTAGGTGGCTTTTCAGACTAGCTCATGCATCAGTAACTGACATCAGATGTTCTCCTCTGCTGTATATTCAAGTGTTTGAGTTTCAGGTGGGTCAACCCACGGTCACGCAGAGAGCCCGCAGCTGAGGCGGGATGTGTTGCTGTAGCTCCTCCTTATTCTCCACCTGGGAACGGACCTGTTCCCAAATCAATTTCCTCTGAATCCCTGATTCTGAAGATGCTCAGAAAATCCCAGCAAGAAGGGCTTTTTTTTTCATTGGTAAAAGTACTTTGCTGAGGACAGTCTGAGGTGCATTGTCAAACTTGACCTGACTGACGTTGGCTGGCAAGCTCTTGCAGTCCAGGAGCTGGTCCCAAACCTGCGCTGCGCTTAGGGGCTTTTCAGCTGAGGGACCATTCCCTCTGTCTTCAGAAGCCCAGTTGCTGAACCAGCAGACTGTGCTGAGCTGCTCTGGCTTTGTCTGTGACTGCACAGTGACATTTTCTAGCCAGCTCTACTGTCTGCTGTGGGCAGATCTTGGGTCGTTTTGAATGAAGCTGCTTGGGTGAATCTTATTTTTATACATCCTGATAAAGAACTTCTTGTTCCGCTGATAAGAACGTGAAACCTTGAAGTCCTTGACTTACTACATATGGGAAAATCAACAATAGTATATTTACTGCTAAGGGAGGAATATGAATGTGAGCTTGGTTATTCCAAATCAATCAGAGCAAGTACTCCACTGTATCTTGGAGACCTGCAGTGAAATGAGAAGTGCTAATGACATCTAATGAGATTTAGACAGTTGTTGGAAGCACACAAATGCTAAATGGCCTGTCTTAGCCTCAGGCTCTTCTCTTCACTCCTGATATATGTTTCCTTTGTGACTCAGCCTGCTTTACATCCTTTTTTATTTCAAATTCTGTCTTCAGACCGTGAGAATTATTGCTGAGCTGAGGATGCTAATGTGGAAGGGGTTGGGAGCTTGCTAGGAATTGCTACCAGTTGTCTGATACTTTGGAATAAGTGATTCCTATAAAACAAACAAAGTCTGGGATAAATGGGCTAGATTACATACTGAACCTGCAGATGTTCTAAGTGGAGAAGGGCAGAATAATTGTTAAAATGTGTGTTAAAAACCTCAGAATGCAGAGGTTCCTGATCCACCCTCTGCCGAATGCCAGGGCAACAAGCATCCTCATGAAAAGAGTTTTTCAAAGGGAAGGAGGAGTGAATGGGTCGTTGTGTTTAGCTTTATCTTCTTTCCCCCTCTGAGAAACTGCAAAGAATGCAAATACATGCACACTCATTTCAGTCTCTTGTAGAAAGTGCCTGTTATCTTCCCCCTGAGTTTCACAGATTTGGAACATAGCCACAGGGAGCTCACCTGACTTGCCCTAGCTCAGGTAGAAAGGGAGGAAGATAAGCAGATTTTAATGACAGGTGATTTTACTGGTTCTGGCTGGTTAATTTTCCCATAGTAGCCCTCGCAGTGTTGTGCTTTGTATTGGTAGCTAGGAGGGTGTTTTGGCTACTGCTGAGCAGTGCTGCACAAGGCTGTCTCCAACATTCCTCCCTCACCGGTAGGCTGGGGGTGGGAAGACCTTGGGAGGGGGCACTCCAGGACAGCTGACCCCAACTGACCACAGGGATGTTCCAGACTCTGACGTCTGCTGAGCAGTAAAAGCAAAGAGAAAGGAGGAGGAGCTGGGGTGCTGGCTATTACAACATTGGCCTTCTGGAGCAACTGCTGTGTGTGCTGAAGCTCTGCTTCCTGGGAAGCGGTTGGACACTGCCTGCTGATGGGAAGGAGAGAACAAACCTTTTGTTTTTCTTTGCTTCCACACACGGCCTTGGCTTTTGCTTTATTAAACTGCCTTTATCTTGACCCATGAGGTTTTTTTCCATCGTATTTTCTCTCCTCCCTGTCCTGCTGAGGAGGGGAGTGATAGAGCGGCTTGGTGGGCACCCGGCCTCCAGCCAGGGTCATCCCACCCCACAAGGAAAAGAATAATTTATATGGAGTTGGATTTGCTTTTTTTTTGCAGACAGTTGCTGAGCAGTGCTGCACAAGGCTGTCTCCAACATTCCCCCCTCACCGGTAGGCTGGGGGTGGGAAGACCTTGGGAGGGGGCACTCCAGGACAGCTGACCCCAACTGACCACAGGGATGTTCCAGACTGTGACGTCTGCTGAGCAGTAAAAGCAAAGAGAAAGGAGGAGGAGCTGGGGTGCTGGCTATTACAACATTGGCCTTCTGGAGCAACTGCTGTGTGTGCTGAAGCTCTGCTTCCTGGGAAGCGGTTGGACACTGCCTGCTGATGGGAAGGAGAGAACAAACCTTTTGTTTTTCTTTGCTTCCACACACGGCCTTGGCTTTTGCTTTATTAAACTGCCTTTATCTTGACCCATGAGTTTTTTTTCCATCGTATTTTCTCTCCTCCCTGTCCTGCTGAGGAGGGGAGTGATAGAGCGGCTTTTTGGGGACGCTGCCC